GGTCCTGTGTATTTCAAATCTTCTACCTTTATTCTTTTTTCTATTTTTTTATGGTACTAGGGAATTGAAGCCATGACCTTTGCACTGAACTACATCCCTAGCCCTTTTTTATTTTTTATGTTAAGACAAGGTCTTGCTACATATTTAAATTGCCGCGCTGGGCTCAAACTTCGAAATCATCCTGCCTCTGCCTCTGCCTCCCAAGGGCTGCTTTTGCAGGTGTGCGCCACAGGCTCGTTTGTTTAGTATTTTTTAAAAAATGTTTCTCAGCTGTGTTATGTAGTTTTTCTTTTCCTTCTCTGATTACACTGGCCAGTAGGCGAGATTCTGAGGAGCAATATTGTAAATGATATCTTTGCTTTGTCTCAGATCTTAGCTGGAAGGCATCTGCATCAAGTCTAGGAGGTTTCCTTCTAGTCCTAGTTTGCTGAAAGGGTTTTTTTTTTTATTATTTTTTTTTTGAATTTTTATTGTCAAATTATTCTAAGCATATGTTGAGATTATATAGTTTTTCTTCTGTTGTTACGGTGTATATGTAATATAACATGAAGTATATTTGGTGTTTATTCTTGGTTCTTATCATGAAGCTCCCTAGACCTGTGGAATCTTCTGAGTGAAAGTCAGCTTTTGTTATGCACGATAAGCACCTTTGATAGCGCTTGAGTGTATACTAATGAGGTGACTTAGGTTGGAACCCCTAGAGTAAGTGCTCTCGCCATGGCCCTGTTCACCAGTCAGCCCATCACCCATGCGACTCTTAAAATTCTCCACCCTGTTGACCGGCGCCCCTCCCCTACCTGAAATGCACCCTGTCAATCACGGGCACCCTCCTCTCGGTGCCAGCGGCCTTCTCACCCCTGGCCCATCTGCACCCAGATGTCAATAAACTCATCACATGTTGCTTAGGCTTTGCCTGCTTCCACGGTCCCAATCGTGCCTCGGTCTGACCTTACATTTATGTATTTATACATATATTTTAAAATATAATAAAGTAGGCAGGCATGATAGTACATGCCTGTAATCCCAGCATCTCGGGAGGGTGAGGCAGGAGGATTGCCACCCAAGGCCGGGTCAGCCTGAACTACATAGTGAGACCCTGTCTCCAAAAAACCGAAAATAAAATATAATACAATTTTGTTGTTGTTGTTGTTTTGGTTTTTTGAGACAGGGTCTCACTATGTAGTTGAGACTGACCTGGAACTCACTATGTAGCCCAGGCTGGTATCAAACTCATGGCGATCCTCCTGCCTCAGCCTCCCGAGTGCTAGGATTACAGAGGTGCACCACCACGCCCGGCATAAATACAAAATTTTACTTTTCATACTGCTACAGCTTCTCCCAACTCCTCTTTTTCTTCTTCCTCTTTCTTTAGTTATAGTAAAAAAGCATATGAAATATATCCTCTTGAAAATCTTCAGGTGTACAATAAATTAAGTACAGCATTGTATAGCAGATCTCCACAACTTTTCTTCTTCTTTGACTGGAACTCTGTACATCCTGAGTAGCAGCTCCCCAGGTCCTGTCCCTAGCTCCTGAGAGCCACCATTCCTTTCCTAATTTGCATACCTCGTAAGTAGAATTACACAGTATTTGTTTAGTAAGTGGCCTATTTCATTTAGCATGGTGTCCTCAAAAGTTCATCCATGTTGTCACGTGTGACAGGATTTCTTTCTTATGACTGAAAAATTTTGTTGTATATTGCTATGGTTGGATATGTTCTGTCCTCACTGAAATTTACTGAAATCTGACTCCCAGTATAACTGTGAGAGGTGGTGAAGCCTTTAGGAGATTCTCAAGTCATGGGGACTCATCCCCATGGGTGGCTTAATACCTTTGTTGAGAGGGTGGGATGCCTGTGTTTCCTGAGATTGGAATAGTTACCAGAAGAGTGGGTTTTCTAAAGCAAGGTGTGCCAGGCATGGTGGCGCATGCCTGTAATCCCAGCACTCGGGAGGCTGAGGCAGGAGGATCACTTTGAGTTTGAGACCAGCCTGGGCTACATAGCAAGTTCCATCTAGGTCAGTCTGAACTACATAGTGAGACCCTGTCTCAAAAAAACAAGTAAACTAACAAAACAGCAACAACAACAAAAAACCAAACAAACTAAAAGTAAGGTGCACCCTGGTTTCTGCTTCCTCTCCTTCTGCTCATATATCACTCAGACACATGCTCCTGCCATGTGATGCCCTGTGTCATGAGACTCACCAGAAGTTGAGTAGACTGGCACCATGTGTGAGCTGAATAAATCTCTTTGCTTTTTCTTTTTTTGGTACCAGGGACTGAACTTGGGTCCTTGCACTTGCGAGGCAGGTGCCAGAACCACTGAGCTAAATCCCCGGCCCTAACCTCTTTTCTTTGTGACCTACCTAGCCTCTGGTGCTTTGCTGTAGAAGCACAAAACAAGCTGATAGTCGTGGGTTTGTCATATTTTCCTCATCCAGCCATCTGTCAGTAAATATGTAAGTTGTTACCACCCTCATCTCTTGGCTATTGAGAATACTCTGTGATGAAGAGAGAGTACAGATATTTTTTCCATTATTGATTTCATTTCTGGGGATAAGCTCATAAAGAAGAGTTTTTTTTTTTTTTAGTAACTTCCATATTGCTTTCCATAGTTGCTGCTCCTTTTTATAGTTTTATTGGTAGTGTACAAAGGTTCCAGTTTTTCAACATTCTCTTTGAGAATTTTTTTTACATTAGCTGTTATAAAGGTGACACAGTTGTTTTAATTAGCATTTCCTGATGTGTGATGCTGGACATCTTTTTATTTAATTTTTAAAATTTTTCATTAAGTTTATTGGTACACTTTAGGCATGCATTATGATGACATTCATCATTGGGAGTTTGTACCTTTACATGGTGTATCTTGGTTCTTATTTTTTCCCCATTCAACTGCCCTCTCTTCAACCCCTCCACCCCTCCCTATTTATTTTCAAAGAGTTTGTTTCCATTTTTCCTTTTCTCATATTTTTTCCTTTCCCCCACCCCTCCCACTTCCTCTTCCCCTTTAGACTTCTTCCTGTTGCACATTATCTATTATACATTTTGATCCTTATTTACACTTTCAGTTTCTCACACCAGAGAAACTATTTGATATTTCCTCGTGTGTCCTATTTATTTCACTTAAGAGTATCGCCTCTGTGTGCATCCATTTAGCTCTGCATGACTCTAGTTTCTCATTCTTGCTGGGCATCTTTTTATATGGGCATCTGTGTGTCTTTGTACATTTTTGTGATTGGTTTTTGCTTTTTCATGTTGTAGGAGTTCTGTATGTATTTTGGCTGTTAACCCCTTAATCAGATATATGGTTTTCAAATATTTTCTCCTGTTCCTGGGCTGGGGGGTAGCTCAAGGGTAGAGTATATGCTTAATTTGCATGAGGGCTTAGTTTCAGTTCCAAATACCAACAAAGAAAAAAATGTCCCATTTCTTTTGGCTGCCATTGTACCCTCTGGGTGGTTTCTTTTGCTGTGCAGAAGTTTTTTAGTTTGTTGTACTTCTGCCTGTTATTGTTAGCTTGGTTGCTTTTTGGGTCACATGTAAGAAATTATTGCTAGGGCCAGGATTTAGCTCAGTGGTTCTGCTGCCTGCCTCGCAAGCACAAGGACCTGAGTTTGATACCTGGTACCAAAAAAAAAAAGAGAGAGAGAGAAATTATTGTTAATACCAGTGCTATGAGGTTTTTCTTTGCATTTTTCTTCTGAGAGTTTTCTACCTTTTTTGTTTTGGTTTGGTTTTTATTTCTTTCATTTATTTATTTATTTATTTATTTATTTATTTATTTATGGATTTATGGCTGCTGGGGGTCGAACTTGGGCCCTTGTGCTTGCAAGGCGGGTTGGCAGAACCACTGAGCCAAATCCCCTCCTGCTTTTTAATTTTTGAAGCAAGGTCTTCCTGTGTAGCCCAGGTAGAACCTCAAACTCACAGTGATCCTCCTGCCTCACCCTCCCAAGGGCTGGGATTATAGGCATACGCCACCACACCCAGCTTGTACCTTTTTTTTTTTGGTGGTACTAGAGATTGAGCCATTACTTTGACACCAAGCTATCTCCCCAGCCCTTTCTGTTATTTTTTTTATTTTGAGGCAGGGTCTTGCTAAGTCACTGAGTTTCCCAGGCTGTGCTTGGTCAAAGTGCTGGGATGCAGCTTTGTGGCAGAGTTGTCCTGTGAATCATAGGAAAAGAAAGGAAAACCTGTAATGACCTTTGTAAAGATTGCAATATCTATTTTCAAATATTATCATTATATCTTAACAGCAAGTCATTGTAGACTTATACTGAAGATTTGGATGATGCAGCAATAATCCTTAATTACAATGGAAAGTATGACAGATTTCTCTTCCTCTGGGTTTGAGGGGTTTTTCTTTTACTCTGGTACTGGGGATCTACCCCAGGGCCTGTGCGTGCTATGCAAGTGCTCTGCCATGGAGCTATACCCTCCACCTTTTGTGTTTTCTTTTGTGCCTTAGTGTCCTGACCTATACAATAGATGATAACAGCACTTGCTTCATACATAGATACAGAGGTGCACTGCTGAATGACGGGAGCACGTCCCGGGACGTGTGTCATTAGGTGTTGCAGTGTTAGGAATGCCGTCGCATGCACTTGCGAAGACTTAGATGGAACAGCCTCGCACACCCCTAGGCATGAGGGGAGCCTGAAGCTCCAGGCTCCTCACCTGTCCCACACACTGTAGGCAGTTGTGATGCAATGATAAGACTCTTCGCCTGCATGTGAAAAAAGTACAGTACAAATACAAGGGTTAGGGATCTTTCAGCTGTGTTCTACTCTTACAGGATCATCACACAGGTGGTCTGGCACTGACCAAAATGTTGTTGTGCAACACATGACTGACAAATACTTTGAACAGAGTTTGGAATATAGTTAAGTTCTCAGTTATTATGTTATTTACAGTACTGCAATTGTGATGAAATTGGTCTTTTTAAGCTAGTAGCTGCAAGGTATAATGTAATATTGAGAAAATGTGAAATGACCTTCGACCTCATGTACAGGGTTGAAACTGTGGGGCAGCCAGACCGCCGAGACAGTATAGGAGTGTGTGCGGAAAAGCAGAGTGGATGCGACTCTCTGCAGCGCGACCAGGCGGTGTGCATCTGTACCAATGGTAAGACACAGCTGCCACTCTCCTGGAAACAAGTCAGTGTGGCTGTGAGTGAACGCCCTAATACCACACGTCGCTAAAGGAGATGAAAAGATTGAGGCCTTTCTCCTCCCTTAACGCTGGGGAGTGAACCAGGATCTCTCAGTGCTAGGCAGATGCTGTACTAATGAGCTACGGCCTTGGGGCATTGTTTTAAAATCCTTTTCAAATAAAACAGCATTTAATTTTTCTAACTATGAGCTCTGATTAAAAAAAAATACAGTGAATACTTAAGATAAATTTATTACAGTAAAACACATTTTTATTAATCCTCTTAAATACTCCTTCTCTTTTCAAACACACTTCAAAACACACATCATTTTTGCCACTCTTTAAGCCGTTCCGGAAGTGAACACCATAGTCACACTGTTGTGTCTGCTTTAATGTCCTGAATCAGTTCAAAATGTTTGCTTTTCTTGGTCATTTTCTCTTTGGGGCAGAGCCAGAGAAGTCAAACAGTACCAGATCCAATAAATAAGTAGACGAAGACAACATTGTGTGTGTGTCTATTTGCATTTTTATGAGCCTGCCTTTCTGTTGGATTACCCTTGGTGGCAGGATTCACTGTATTTCTTTTTAAATCACATCTATCTCATAAAGACATTTAAAATTTTTGAACATCCATGTGTCTTTTTATTATACCTCATGCTTTGTGAGATTAAAAACTAAGTCCCCAGAAAGGTTAAGTAACTACCCTAAAGTTATAGGACTTGGGATCAACTAAGCTGGGACTTGAACCAGGCAGTTCACAATACTCATCTTACAGATTAGGAAACTGTGGAGAAAGAGAACGTTTCGTTTTCTTTTTTTCTTTTAAGGCAAGTCCTCAAATACTAAATACATCCCCAGACCATTTAAATCTTATTTTGAGATGGGATTTCAGTAAGTTGATCAAACTGGCTTTGAATTTATGACCCTCCTGACTCAGCCTCCCAATGCAGCATGTGCCAAATCCAGATGAAAGAGTACTTACTGTACTTTTCCAGTGCTCTTGGTTCCTTACTCCACAGCAATCAAACTTTTCTAAATTACTAGTAGGACCCTATAATATTTTGTCGTATGGGATCAAACATTAGATAGAACAAAATTCTTAATGTATTCCATATGAAACAATCTTGCTGTTTCACAGGTTCTGATTTTTCAGGGGTGTCAAGTTTTTTTTGATAGTCATTCACATAAGACACTCATATCTCTGTTAGTAAAGAGTAGAGCCCTGTACAAGAATGTTAAAGATTGAGGCTTTGACTTTTGTCCTGCCATGGGGATAGAGGTTAGTGAGCATATTTAAATGAATTACCATCGTCATTTGGCATTCTGAAACGTGTTCTTTTTCTGACTTAAGGAAACTGGCTGTGTTATCAGTAATCTAGAAGCTGTTTCAATTCTCTTATTAGAGTTACTGCTTACAAGTAAATGACTCTTTACTTTAACATTTTAGGTGCAGTTTTTGTAAATGGAAAAGAAATGACTAACCAGTTGCCTGCAGTTACCTCTGGATCTACTGTCACATTTGACATCGAAACTGTGACTCTAGGAACCACCAATAATAATGAAGGCGGAAACTTCAAGCTCCGAGTAACTATTAGCTCAAATAACAGAGAAGTGGTTTTTGATTGGTTACTTGATCAGTCTTGTGGTTCTCTTTACTTTGGATGCTCATTTTTCTATCCTGGGTGGAAAGTGTTAGTGTTTTAGAGTTTTTTGTTTTGTACTGGGGATCGAACTCAGGACCTTGTGCTTGCGAGGCAGGCAGCAGCACCACTGAGCAAAATCCCCAGCCTTCTTTTAGAGTTTTGGATGCTTGGCTTCAGTTTGCAAAGTTACCATTGCTGTCCTCAGCCCAGTATAGTTGTAACTGATTAAAGAAAAGTTGAATTCATCTCTCAGGCCTTTGGAAATGGAAAATGTTTACTGGATTCATTTTGTAATATAGTATTTTAGCAATAAGAGAATTGAATGGTAGGGACAAACCATAATTTAACAATTTTTTTTTAGTATATTGTCAATTAAAATATCGCATTATAATAAAAATCAAATTGGCTTTAAAAGTCTAGGAAGATACAAAAAAGTTCTATACCCTCTACGGTAGTTCTTCTTATACTTGGTTATTAAAATAGAAGAACTTAATGTACCATTATTTTATTAAATCTCCATCAGGATTGAAGTTCACATAAAACTCTGGAATAAAACAGCACGAATCGACCCCACAGAAGCCACTCGTGTGTCCTCCACGAGTGTGCTGACTGTACTCCTCCACGTTCAGGTATTTGGAAGCTGTGTTGAGTTTATCCCTTATGTCCGGAAAACTTATCGTTTCTGCACTTTTTCACAGTGCCTGACAGTGTCTGCAGTAGGCAGTGTTATCTTTTGCTCTTTCCTCACAGTCTGACTCTGGATAGGTTTGAGGGTCTATGCGGGATGAAACTCCCAGGATGCAGCAGTGTCAGCGTCGTGCAGTGCGGTCTCAGCGGTGTGTGTGCTATTTGTGGCGAGGTGTCGTCCAGTTTGATGTCAAAGAATGGTCTTTTAATGGACCAAAGAAATTCAGGGCAAAACTTGACCTATTTTTTTAAATTTAAATTTGTGTACAATATTTATTTGAAGGGCTTAATATGTAAAAATAATGGCCTTACCTTGCTATACCAGCGTACAGATTTTTTAAATGTGAATTTTCTTTTCATATTTACCAGTACTAGAAAAGTGGGAGAGCAGTTTTGATATTTTTGTAAGATAATTTATTTGGGGATTCATGTTCCCCATTAGACAATCATGATCTTTCTCTTTGCCTTTATAAATGTAAGTAGCCTTTCACATGTTTAGTGACTGTTAAGAGGTTCTGGCATATAGGTGTCTTGTCCAGCTGTCTGAAACAAAATAAAAAACTCAAAGTGAAATGTGTGCATTATTTCTTCATATTTAATGAATCTGATTTTAATCTGTTTTTCATTATATGGGAAAGGTTTCTTTTGGCTTTGGGCACTTTGATGAAATCTTATTGTAACTTGTGAAAGGTTACTTGTACATCCTTACATTCTCTATATCTGATACTAATCAGAGCACATAACGTTTGTATCATAAATGTTAAATACAATGAAAGTAGATGAATTATTTTCTCCAGACATCTTTAACTCATTGGAACTACGTGATCTCATTCCAAAATTCTTAAATCATTTATGTATCAAAGACTCTCCCCAAATAAGTTTACTATTAGATTTTGGAACATGGACACACCCTACATTGTATGTGTGTGTGTGTGTGTGTGTGTGTGTGCGCGCGCGCGCGTGCTAGGGAATGAACCTAAGGGCACTTCACCAAGTTACACCCCCTAGCCCTTTTTGATTTTTTATCTTTAGATGGTCTCACTAAAGTTGGCCAGACTTGACTTTGAATTTGAGATCCTCCTGCTTTAGCCTTGAGTAGCTAGGAGTTGACATGCTCCACTGCACCTGGCATGTTTCCGGTATTCTGTCTTCCTCTTTATTGTATTTATTGGGGTGCTGGTGATAAAACCCAGGGCCTTGTACGGATTAGGCAAGCACTCTACCACTCAGCTACACCTGAGCGCCTATTCCCTTTAGTGGAGCACCTCCTCCCCTTTCTGGGAAAAGGTGCCCCAGAGGTAGAGTTCTTCAGAGAGTTCTGAAAGTTTGTTTTTTCCTACACTTCTTTGATAGTAGCTGGATAATAATTTAGATTGGAGAACATTTCTCCTCAGAATTTGAAGCACTGCTCCATTTCTTTCTGGTGCTGAAAAGCCTGATGCCATTCTGATGACCATTTTGTGTTGCAGGTTTTTTCTTTGGAGGAACATAGTGTTTCTGTTCCTAGTTTTAAGTTGGTTTTACACCAGCTATGTGACTCATTTAACTGTTGACCCCTCAAGTTTGGGGTGCCTGCTCTAAACCCACTAGATGATGAACTTCTAGAGGTTTTCTCTCTTCTAGAGCAGTTGTTGCCCACCCTGGCTGAACATTAGAATCCTGAGAGCTTTAAAAAAAATAGCTGAGATTTTGATTTAATTTTTCTCAGTGGAGCTCAAACTTTTGTCTTTTCTTTTTAAAGAAACTAGACGATTCTGTTGTGAAGGCCGATTTAGGAGTAACTTGTTCCAAAGCAAGTAGCTGTTTCCATAATGAATTTTTGGGTAAATCTAAATTTATTCTACTTAAATGACTGTTTTATTCTGAAATTATTTTTCTTCGCTACTGTCTTTTCATAAAGTAAAGCTGTATTCCATAGTGTATTTGAGGTTCAATCCTCATACCATTAAAACAAATCATAACTCACAGTAGATGGCAGGTTTATAAATTTTATAAGACAAAATACTTTCAATCGTATCTTTCCTGATTTTGGGCCAGGAAAAGGAAGAAGTAAATTATTTACCTGTAAGTACTGGGGGAACCCTAGAAGCAGGATCTTAGTTTTACTTAACTTCCTACTCCCTGTATGTGGACAAGGTCTATGCACAGATATTCAACAAGTAGACAGGCGTGGTGGTGCACACCTGTAGTTAATCCCAGCACTCAAGAGGCTGAAGCAGGAAGTCACTATGGGTTCAAGGCCAGTCTGAGCTACATGCTGAAAGAGCTATTTGGGTTATGAAAAAGGATGTAGCAGCTTGGACACAAATTATGATAATTAGAGTTGGTGAATCTGCAGGCAGCCCCTGTAGCTTTGCTGTGGATAGGATGGTAGATAGATAATAATTGATAAAATATAGTAGTCCAAGAGATTCACCCGTTCTTGATTCATCCCACTAGACATTGAAACATTTTTTACATTGTCTAAGAATCGAGTAAATTTTTGTCCTTCTATACAAGTCAACCTAATATTTGTAGGAAGTAATACGTAGGAAGAAGTTCTAGAAATTGAATTGTAGTAACAGAGTACGTGGTATGTAAATTCTTTGTGTACACTGGTAATCTTGTTGGAGAGACACTGCATACATGAGAGGTAAGACTGGAAAGACAATGAAATTGCATCAAGGTATTTTACTGTCAACAGGGAAAACCATTAATATTACTGCTTTAATACAGTATTTGTAATAAAACTTCAGTTATTTATATTCATTTTCCTAGGAACAGTACACTGTTAATTACTTTAGAAAACAGAAAATATAAACTCTGTTCTGGAAGTAAGTTTTGACAATGAGCTTCCTGTTTCACTTAATTCATCTAAGTTTCTATGTTCCAGCTCTGTTTGGCACTTGCCCATTCTACCCGGTTGTGAAAAAGCATCCCCCTTCTTGAACCTGTCCTCTCATTAAAAAAAATAATACAGCTGGGCGTGGTGGTGCACACCTTTAATCCCAGCAGGAGGCTGAGACAGGAGGACTGCTGTGAGTTGAGACCAGCCTGGAATACAAAGTGAGTTCCAGGTCAGTCTCAACCACATAGTGAGACCCTGTCTCAAAAAAACCAAAACAAAACCAAAAGGCACAATAGACAGCCTTTCTTCTTTCCTCCAGCTGTCTTCCCTGGAAACAGTTTTGTACTCTTCTGGGTATTTTCTACAACCCAAACATGTTAACTTTTTTCTTTCAGTACGAAGGATTGACCCAGGGGCCTTTGCACTGAGATGATGACATCCCCAGACTTTTTTGTCTTGCTAAATTGCCCAAGTCAGGACTCAAAAACTATGGTCCTCCTGCTGCAGTTCAGAGTGATTAGAGGTGTGCACCACCACGTCTGGCAATCTATCATTTTGTACATGCTCATTTCAAACAGGATGAGTAAAAGTGGATTTAAGGCAAAGAGTATGTGCATTATGGTCTTAATAGAAACTACCAGATTGCTTTCTAGGTTGTACTGGTTTATTTTACTGGCAGAAAGGTTAAGTGCTTTCTCATTTCTTGCCAACAGTATCATCACAAGCTCACCTCAGTCCATCAGAGCTTTTCCCCCTTGACAAGATTTTTTGTTTTCTTTGGTACAGGGATCAAATGGGACCTTGCACTTGTGAGGCAAGGTGGCAGACCCACTGAGCTAAATCCCCAGCCTGAACCCTAGGTTTTCTTTTGTATTTCTGTTTGGTTTTTTTGAGACAGGGTCTCACTGCGTAGTTGAGACTGACTTGGAACTATGTAGTCCAGGCTAGTTTCGAACTCAGTGATCCTCCTGCCTCAGCCTCTGAGTGCTGCACCACCACACCCAGCTTTCGAACTCCAGGTTTTTGAACTGAGGTACATCTCTACTCTTAAAATTTGAGATGGAGTCGGTTACTAAGCTTGTTTTACATCATTTCTCTAGAATTGTTATAACTGTTTCCTTTTTAAAATTTTTGGCTTTATTGGTCTACCTGAATTTGTCTTCTACGAATAGTGCAGCATTGGTTAACTTTTTGGCACTCATGACACTCGATTGCTAGGATGATTCACCTAGATTACTTTAATAGCATCCCAGTAACGGAGCCCTATAGGGAGGGAGCTTCTCCCTTTCAAACTTTCCTTAAAGCCTCTGGGCTTCCTAAAACAAACTGGATTGTGCCCTTATCTTCTGTAAACATTACGAACTTCCTACTGCCTGAAGTACAAATCCTTAGGATGCCACATAAAACATCCACTATCTCACCTGGTACCCAAGTCCAAGGCCATGTACAGTTTGCTCCATTCCATGAGAGGGTATCATTGACCACCCTCTCATGGAGCAAACTGTACAATAAATGTACCTAGGAGTTTGAGGAGCACATGGCCACATTCAGCTCAGAATACACAGCAACATATATTTGACTTGAATATAAAGCTAGAATGACTGAATTGTCCCCTCCAATTGACTGAATTGTCATTTCCTCCAACTGTTGAAGTTAGCCTCAACAGCTGCTGACCTCTTGTTAAAGTGGTATAGGTGATTCTTAGCGTGGATGTCCCAATAAATTTATCTAACCTACCCCACGGCTTAGTGTATAGTAGCCTGTGTGATCACACAGCTGACTGAAGGCTGCCCAGCCCTGCCAGATAATATCCTACTGCCTATTGGTATTCTGAAGAAATACCAGACTCCATCAAAGGACAGTTTCTAGTGAAACGCTTAAGATGAACCATCAGTATTAAAAATGTGACACTATCTGTGATCTATTTGTATTCCTAATTTTTGAGAGGATAAATTATTTTCACTAAAATGAAAATGGAAGCTGAGTGTAACAGTGCATGCCTATCTGGGAAACTTATTTAGGCAGAAATGTCTCAAAATTTAAAAATATTAAAGGGCTGAGGATGGAGTTCAGAATGCAGACCCCAAGTTTAATCCCTAGTACAAAAAACAAAAAGAAACAAAAAACACAACCAAAGATGGACAGCCGTTCAGCTGACTAACATTCTAACAGCAATGCTATTCTGAACTATAAATTTTAAAATCTCTTATTATTACGACTCATTTGAAGTTAGTGTACTTTTCCCAGAGTCTCACTAAGCTAAAACAGAATTTTGATGCAGGCATTCATGAACAATAACAAAAAACAAATAAAACAGCATACAGCTTTTTATATTATTGAACTTTATGTACAAAATCATTTGATTCAAATAAACATTTAATGTAAAAACAAACGTTCTTTTAAACTGAATTTTTTTTACATCTACTGTACCATTCAAATGCTTTACCATCTTACACGATTTCTTCAAAATCTGTTATTAAGGGTACATATAGAAAAGCATTTTTTTTTTATAAATAGAAACAAAGGGATTTTTTTCAGCTTTTATTATAAGATGACATAAAAAGTTTACTCAACAGAAGTAATTTCATTACTATTTGGGGGAGGGAATCACCAACTTTTGTGCAAACAATGCTAGCCTTCTTTTAAGCATTAAGAGCATAACTGCTTAAGAAATGACATAAGCAATAATCCTACACCTACATCTCCCCTAAAATAATCTATTTTTTTTTTTACAT